AGTATTAGAACCATACTCTATTATTTGCGAACAAAGTCAAAAGTCTAGATGCACCCAGAATGCTGATTAGTAGAAGCCAGTGAACTTTATGTTCACATCCATAATTGCTGGATCAATGAAGTAATCTTTCAAATACTAACTAAGACCCATCTATGTAATGTGAAACATCAAATTCTGGCACATGAGAAAATAAGGATCCAAACCCAAAACCAAAAAATCCCCAATCGTACACTGACTTCAGTGTCTGGTTAGTGGCTCTACCATGCAGGAAAAAGCAAAGCACCAATCTGACTGCACAGCATCATCCATGCTTCCTTATGGACCAGAACAAGGAAAATTCAGTTCATCTACCATGTGCTACAGCTATCTTGGCAATGCCATGGTGCCTCCTATGTCACTCATGTTTTTTTCTACAAAGAATGAAGGTTATATAAGCTTACTGAGTACCAGTTTCATAAAATAAAGTATGTAGTTGCTCAAGTCACATAACTGGACCGATTCTAGTTTGAGCCACATTCAAGAGACATTCAAAAGGCAAGGCCACAGTGTCTGCCTCCACAAAAAGCCAACAGCATTCTCCAGTGCTGTTCGTTCCCTCTTTCAAATCATGGTTACATAGATAAGATCAACAAGCAGGTACACATGCTATAAGCAGTGTCATTATACCTAGGTTACTGTATGACACAAAGCAATTCTAGTTTCTTAATTAACAAAGGGGCCTTGAAGCAAGGGCATCCAGTCCTACCAAATCCTTGAATATGGCTAAACCTCTGGTCCCACAGAGCAGGTCACAGAACCTCCAAAGAACAGACATTTAAACTCTTCTCTGATGCTGTATTCAGCTGAAATAACTTCTTCACAGAATCTTTTGTTGACACCAATTATAATTTCCATTAGAGTTGCTGAGATTTATCATCACTACAGAAGGATGTGCACTAAACAAAACAGTATGCATATTGCCTGCCCTAGAGAAACCACAATCTAAATTTTTCAGATTTAAGGATTATCTAGCCTTGGAATTAATTCATTAAAAGAAGCAGGGCACATCAAAGAGAGACTGACATGCACAGTTGGACTGGTAGAGAATACATAGGACTTCAGCTGAGTGACAGAAAATGATAACATTAATGGAGAAGAAATTAATGGAGTAAATGCAATATTGAAGCAAGAAGGTGGTGGTAGGAGTAGGCAAGTGGTAAATGACACTGAGCCCCATACGATCATTAGAGGCACAAGTTCACATTAGTTCACAAGCATCCTGCAGTTTTAGACCACGGGTACAGCCATCTTCTCTACACAGATGGCACCTTCCATCCTTAAGGCTCCATAAAGTAAATTTATAAAGTAGGTTGTATTATAAATATTGGAGCACCCTGAACTATGGAGATCCTCATCCTTAGCCTGTAATCAACATTTCTGCCAACCAAGTTCTGTGAGGGGAAATTCCTTCTAGATTGCCCATTAAGACTAGAGTCTTCTTGTCTCCGCCAAGGTCACTGGACCGTGAGATGTTTCTGGCTACGTTTCCCAAGGCAATGAGGCTTAGAAGTCCTAAAGAGGATTTCTCCAGAACTTGGAAGAAATTAGTTCACTGGAGGTGAGAAACACCCAGGTTAATGTCACAGCACTAACTGGAACAGTGGCTAAACCGAACTGTTACACACTCTCCCTGGCTGCAGGCACAGACGCTCTTGCCAGCCTGGCTCTGTACTTCCCTGTGAGCATCAGCACCGAGGGTTGCCAGAAGCTGCAATTACATTCGGGAAAGGGAGAAAGCTATGGGACAAAAAAGAAAGCTAACCTCCCCCCCACTCCCCAACACACACAACCCAGCTCAATTTCATTCTTCATGGAACACGCACTGCTCAAGCAGGCACTGTTTCATCAGATAGGAAAGTTGTTGAAGTGGCAATCTGGGGGGATACAGAATTTCAGGCTCACAGTCATTTGAGTTCCTTTTGAAAATTAGGAGCATGCATATGCCTTAGAGGAGATAATAATAAAGAGAGACCAGATTTAATTTATGGGATATATTTTAATTTACTCCTATGATGATTTAGATGAGGCAATAGTATCTTAAAATGCCTCTGAAACTGCATTTGCCAGCCTCACAGAGTTCAAACCACTTTCCTTTAATAAACTGGTTATTGCTCTTCTTTAAATGTCATTATATTTAACATTTCTTCTTTGTTTCCTGTAGCATTAATCTCAGTTATTGACAGTCAGCATCCATACTCAAGATGAAAGGAATTCTCTTGTCATGATTTAATGCATTTCACATCCTGATAATTCTTTCTTCATTCCTGCTGTTTTAAACAAAACTAGCTAGGAGCACCATTTCTGCCTTTCACTTATAACTGCTGGCTGATAATACAGAAACACATCCAGGGGCAGTTTATTATGTTATCTGTCCCCAATTATTTTTAAGATGATTAATGATTATTCACCACAGCTATGTAATGACTACAAAAGTTCTTTGATATTCCTAAACAACTATCTCCCCAGTTTCTGAAAGCCCACTGAATAGGCATGACTATGCAGTCTGTTGTAAAATTGCCTACAGACAAGTCCTTAATAAACAGCTACCAAAAAACCACTGATTTATATTTTTATCTTACTTGCATTTGGCTATACTATTCCTTATTTGTTTAAAGGAGGCGCTTTTAAACGATGGCTGCAACCCCCAGAGCACTGTTTAATGAATTCTAATGTTAACACGTTCAAAGGCACAAAAGAATTAGCTACTGTAGGCTGTTTGAGCCTCCAGTTTTCTTCCTTTGTTGCTTGTATCATCTCAGAGCACAGTAAATTAGCAGACAAAGAGCAGCATTTTATGAAGTACATTAAAATTTCTTAAAATACAGCTATATTTTCATATTTATAGTGCACAAGCTTCCCATCACTCCTTCCTTCACGATTTGGCAGCAGTGCAGATTACAGAGGGGAGAGACCAGACCTCATTATCCCCCTATAAGTTCCTCAGCCTCTGATCTTCCGTACTTTTGTCCACCAACTCAACAGTCCCTCTGCTTTGACCTCTGGTTTTAAGCAAGTTGCCAGAATTATTATTACAAATGACTGGTCTGAGATGCGAGCTATACACAGGAAAGCACAGCAGTTATTTACATTATGGTATGCTGCAGCATGCAGCTTACTGTTCAAGTAACTTGTTTAGACAGGGGAAATGATGCAGCAGCGACAGGCAGAGGCCAACTCATACCGCAGAGAAGTTGTGCACCACTGAGCATTGCACCAAAGAAAAACAGAAGAACCAGTTCCTACCCCAGTTTATTTTGGTAATGCAAGAGGTGGATACAAACAGATGGGGAAGGAGGAGGGAATGAGAAGACACTCCGATCAGATCATCAGCACCCAAAGTGCTGTCAAGACTTTGGGAGGCAACCTGCCAAAGACAAACTTTAATGAGATTTTTAAGGGGGCGGATGCTCATTAATTTTATGACAAAACATGTAAATATTAAGGGCTTACAAATGCAGTTCACTGCAGTGAAGAAAATGTCATTCTACTAGGAGGAACAGGATTGCCTCTCTGAAGTGGGCACCAAGCAGTATCTGTTGCCTTAACAGTGAAGAGGGTTATCACAATTTGCAACCTGCAAAACCAATCCCCAGGTGCATTTGCTGGCCACCTCCAAGTACCCTCCTAACTCCCCACCCTCATGTCCAAGTCTCCTCTGGAAGGAAAGCAAACGCACAGACCGGACGGGGTTGCAGAGCCACCCTGGATTCCCATGTCTTTCACAGACAGCTCCCCAATCCCGGTCTTCCTTATTCCTGCTGCAGTGCTACAGGCCAGTTCAAACAGCTCCAGGGAGGATACTTTCCTTTGCCATGTGATTTTGGGAGTCATATATCACTGTCTTAGTCACAAACTCCCACTTTGAAAAGTGCTTAGAATGCTTACAAACTTGATTCCCTTCAAAGGCTGTAGATATTATTAGAGCCTAGGTCTCTTTCAGAGAGAGAAATATGGACTTTATTATATTTTATGGTTAAGGAAAGGTTTCCACTAGGGTCTCAGAAGATTGGGAATTCCTAGAATCTGGTGTCCTTCAAAAATATAATCTGTTGATTTACAATATGAAAAATTGAGATTTTTTTAACTGCAATTTTCAAATATAGTTAAGAGAACTCTTACTATAACTCTGAAGCAATAGCTAATTGGTTTTTATTCCTGTCCATGGCAAGGTCATCACTACATACAAGGAAGCAAGATAAGATTTGGGCACTGTTTGTTTAAGGGCTAATTCTTATTCCAAATAATGATTAAAAGAAGACCAAAAAAGGGTTATATTGAATAGAGTAAAGCAATTAAATGATAAAATACAAATGGAAAATGAAAAGCATTTGTAGCTAATGAACATACATCAAGTGACCAATGGTTTCAGGGGATTAGACTCTCATGGTAATAATTACATATTAATGTAATCAGTAACAGCAAATAGTCATTATTCAGTTGAAATAAAATAGCAGCACATACAATTCTGCATCGCAATGGACATTCAGTTCAGATAAATTGAACTATGCTGAAACTTGGTACCAATATATGACCATTTGGAAGACACTTTTGCTACCTCTACTACCCTGAATAGCATTTTTGAGCACAAACAGGATCAAGCATGGTTTGTCCTGAGGATTTTGCAACTTGGAAAAAGCTTGTAAATAAGAGATATTTATTCGAACTTGGACACAGATAACCTTTTGTCATGCAGATTAACTCCTTTTCAAGCACACGGGACACACTCAGGTTTACATGGTACAGCTCCAGTAAGCAGCTCAAGTCTGAGGTTCCTAGGTTTTCATTTTAAGATAACAGAAGTGCCCTGTGATTTGCTTTGAAACCCTGTTCCACAGCAATACTAATCAGAACGTACTGCAGTTGTGAAACCATGGATTAACAAGGTTTACTCTGTGGCTGACGCTTTCAATTCTAGATTGACCACAAACAGAGGACTGAAAACAGAAACTAAAGATCCTTACCATGCTATTCATTCATCCTCTTGACAGTATGCTCTAGTAAGAAGTGCTGCAGTCAGCTCAGCTGTATATATTTCACTGGCAACTCCTTCAGGGAAACACCCCCACACACAGCTCCATGCTTCACTGGACCTCACAACCTAAATAAATTAATAGAATTTGGATATTAGATTTTTAAGGAAATAAAAGTGCTCCAGAAAATGGTATAAGTGGTTCACCAGACAAACTCACTCTTCTTGTGTCAGAAAAGAACAGGGAACATCTTTGCACTTGTATTTGGGAGGAGATCAAACTACGCTGCCATGACTCTGTGAGATTGCCAATGAACACCAAAAATACTCCAGTTCTACCCAGACAGAAGTCTGTGTTGAATATAGCATTATTACGTGATGCTTAGAGCAGGAACTATAAGCAAAGGATTTAAAGTATATCAACATCAGAGGAAAAACTGGATAGTTCAAAATGCCTCTGTGTCTGATGCTCCCACTTCATCCTGATAGACACCTCTTGATAGAACTCCATCTCACATGCCTCTGAGTACCTTGTGGTGCATGGCAAAGAATCAAATACCACAGAGAACCCAGTCTCTGAGAGAATAAGAGCATCAGGCAGGTGCAAACTAGAGCCCTTCTAAGCAGATTCTGAAACCATATACTGACATTTTTTATATACATAAATTCCTGTTCCTTTATGAAAAAAGATGCGTCAACCTAAAAGTCAAGGGTTTCTAGCAAAATGCTACATTCACAGAAATTTTGTCATCTCTAGTGTGGGAGAACAGACTAAGAGCCTATTCACGCTGTTATTCGTGATGTTGTGCCTTCTAGTCTGTAGTTACTGCTCCCTCAGTCAAGGCAAGTAGCTTAATTAGACTGTACTGCAGTTAAGCAGGAGAGTTCACAAAGCTACTAAATACTTCCCATCTGAGGGGGAGTAACATCCGAATGCCAGCAAGATCATGGACTGAATTTGTGAGCAAACTCAAAGTGGACCAAAACCTCTGCTCATTTATTCTGGTAGAAAACGGGTGGGGGGAAGGTGTGTGGAAGTAATAGAAGGGAGAAAGAGAAGCAGGAACCCATTGGAATTATCTGCTGTCAAAACCAGGAAGAGGCTGAAATGGGAGTATAGCAATGAAAACTAGAGGCAGAAGAAATGGCAGCCAAGAAAGGAGGCAGCAACTCCTATAGCAGAAAACTGCTGTACGAGAAAGTCTGTCTTACTCAAACCCAAAACATTACTTTGCTTTTCATGCAAGAACAACATCAAATATATGGGGGGGGGCCCCCCCACGGCAGCATTATTTTCATTCTTCTTCAGTTCCATGACTTCCTGACACTCATTTGCGTACGCCTCATGAGAGCAGACTGGGGCATGACATTCTGATGCATCATTATAAAGGACAAAGTCTACTGAGTACAAAAATGTCACCAGCACAAGACATCTCACCTCCACTCTCTTCTTGATTAAATAACAATAGAATGAGAGCTGTGTTTGTTCATCAAATAGGGAGAAGGGGAAAAAAAAAGTAGGGATAATTCATCACATCAGTAAAAGTCACTTTAAAACAACATAATACAGGAACAAAGTGTTACAAAGCAGTGCAGCTTGGGGGAAAGTTTGGGGATTGTGGTAGAAGAGTATAAAACGGATGCATAAGTGACAGCATTGCAGGTAGGTTGAGTGTGATGCCATTTCCTCACATAGAATCCTTTCTCTCTGCCCTATAAGGAACTACATATGTGTTATGTTATCACTTCACCTGCCCCTTCTCTCTCTCTCACTTGCTCCTCACTAGCCCTGTTGAGAAAGGTGCAGACTCCTGAGAGTCTGCTGAGGCTGCTCATGGTGCTTACTAAACCCACTCCAACTGCTGTTTTCTGTCCCTTCTTTATTCTCTCCTTGTAGTTCCTTTCAGAAGTTTTTGGCCTTTTCTAGTCCCTTAGAACACAAGCATGATTCAGTCATTCACATTTTAAAGCGCCTGACCTTCAACTGTACTTTAGCCTTCCACTTCAACTCTTCTCTAATACACTTTTTGGTTACTATTTCTATCCCTCACTTGGCATTTCTATGAATTTGTTCTAACCAAGACAAATGACTTCATCTTACTCAAGTCTCAGAAACATCACCCTGCTCCCACTGCCCTGTCCAATAACTCCATCATATGTGACCATGCTGATACTCCTGAAATGTCATCTTTTCTCAATCCTTCTCTCGCTTTTTTTGGTAATTCTTTAACATTATCTTGGGTGGATTTTCCTCACAGATTCTGGCATGGCTCCATATACATAATGACTTTGGCCTTCATTTTTCCTCCCATAGCATTTTCCCAGCTGCAAGCTCACAGTTTGTTAGCAGAGAGAGAGGGGAGCTGAGTCAGATATCCACTCCTCCGCTCTTTGGTTCAACAAAAGAAATTTATATGCATTCAGAAGTCTTTGGCCAACTTTGACTCTCTTGTCTGAACACTTTGGCATAATTTCTTCAAATCAGCAGAGGGTAATTATATTCAGAAATACAAAACAAGGCTCTCAACCACATAGAGATGGTATACTATTAACTTCACAAGAAGTTAAAAAATAGCAACAGAAACTTGCTGATGGAATAGGCAGTAGCGTGAATCAACACCTGAATTATAACAAATTTTCAAGAAAGACTTTGAGTGCTGCTTTCTGCTATGAATAACAACTAGTAGGAGGGTGCAAGGAAGGACTATTCCCAACTAGTTAACATCTCAAATCTACTCTTAACAGTAGACAAAATGAATAAAATGAGTGTCTCTCAATGTACCATTTGTTGTGCATCATAACAGAAAATCATTGAAAATCTTCCATACTTTATTGTCACTTTAATAAAAAGCACAACTTCAGTAAAAAGCAATCACCTTCATTTTTGCAGAAAACAAGACAAATTTTAGGATTGTCAGAGAGAAAAAGAAAATCTTCTGGTGGTTTTAACCGAAAGAGCATAAAGGCGTCATAACAGAGTTAGAAACTATTCAGGCTATGAAGCCTCCTACAATGAGTGTCTCATCCTCACACAGAAGTCATCAGTTCCAGGGGATAAAGCCACAAAATCACTGACATCTCATCCCTACTGAACAACTAGGAAATGATGGAAAAATAATGTAAGACACAACTTCCATGACTTTACAAAGTAGAGAAAGTTCTCTTCATTGTACTTTGGTGAAAATACAGATAACTGTACTTCTGTTCAGCCCTCTATCAAAAACAAGATGAAAAACATTTTGTGAAGCTATCAAGGTCTACAGTGACAGAAAAACCTTGTAATCCACTTACTGAGCTTATCAGAGCAAATAGATTAGTGAAAGTGCATCACTAAATGTCCTAAGAAGCACCAAGAACAGCTACAAAATCTGGAAGCGTAGGGTAATATTCCCCAAAAAGCAGGCTGTAACTCTAAATTCCTTCACAGCGAGGTACTGACCAGCTGCCACTGGGAAAGTTGTTCTTAACATGGTTTTCCAGAGTTCAGTGTGTAGAACAAAAATAACAACCACCTGCTTCTTTTGTACAATGAAATAAAATGGTCATCCTAATTCCTCCAGACAGAATGCAACGTGAGTACAGGACTGCAAAACTTAACCTCCAAGCTCCGATCTGAGGGCTGGTACTCCTTTGCCATTTTACTTAGGAACTTTAGCTACTTAAATGCTCACAACAAAGCAAGGGAAATGATAAATAAATAGCTGATTTTTCTTTTCATTTGCTAATGGCACAAATGGCAATCACTTCAAACTTGGAAATATTCCTCACTGGGAATGAATGATAAATGCAGAGTAACTTTGTCACTGACATAAGAGAACACTGCTTGCATTTTGGTCATCAAATCCAATGGATACTTTCCCAACGGGGTAACAAAGGCTGAGATCAAGGTCCCATTTTCAAAAGTTGATGACACCTTTCCAGATGGCTGCTCAGTGAAGGAAAAAGAAGGACTGATCTTCACTGAGGCAGGAGTCTCAAACTTATGTTCAACAAAGTGCAGCTCGGAACTGTGGGCTGCAAAGAACACAAAATTTATTCAGAGATTGAATAGAGCTTGAGTCTGCCATACTCTTCCTACCCCAATGAGCTTCAAAATCAAACCAAGCTTTTGACCCACTTCTCACCTTACAAAGCAAGCAAGTATGCCTTCCTAATTAACAGCATGTCTTCATTTTCCTTCAAAATCTACTCAAAAGGCTACCTGTTTTCTTGCCAATATGAATATTATGAAAAATAAAAAGAACTTTGGCCTTTGGCTCAGATTCAACAATACTCCAAATATTAAATAAGCCAGGAACTTATGTGAGACAACTTAAAAACCAAACTACTGATTAAGCTCAACAACACAACAAAATATCTTGGTATTATTTATGACACATGTAATTGTTATTCAGATTATATGACGCACTAAAGATATTTATAACAATCACTGATTCATTCCGTTTCTTCTAGATTCAATGCCTAAGAACATGAGAGGTTTGAAAGCGATGCTACCATCAAGATTCTAGGCTGCTGTAGGAATTGTTTTGCTAAAGAGTTAAGAGCTATGTAAGCCTACACATTCAATAAAAACTCCCACAAGGAAAGCCTGCACAAAGTTTCTGAACATCATATTGTAACAAAGCCTGAATAAATTCTGGAACTGTCACCCAGACTCCCATGCTCCCCTGAGCTGAATTGCATCCATTACTTCCCGAGTATCATGGTGACAGTCTAAGAACTCATTTGAAGAAGCTGCCTAAGAATTTGTGTCAAACATCCCTTCTTTCTTTTCCCAACACTTGTATTCCAATAGAAAGGACCTCTTCAGTGAAAGGCCTTAAACCCTCTCTGTGACACTTTTGCTGAGAGCTCACTCCTGTTCCCATTTCAAGCATAAGGCATTTTAGCTGCCTTTATGGAAACTGAGCTAGACTCAGTCCACTTTTATCTTACTTTCCCCTTGGTCTGCTGGCAGCTCACTTTAACCTCCCATATGCCCCTGGCACATCGCGCTGGGGCAACACTGTCTTTCTGAGTGCAGGTCTCTCAGGGCTGACCAAAAGTTAAAGGACAGCATTAAGGGTATTGACCAAATGCCTCTTAAATGCTGATGGGCTTGGGACATTCGCCACCTCTCCAGGAAGCCT